AGGAAACTGGAAGTCATAGGCAAGTTGAGGGAATTCTAAGGTGTCCCATAGAGGTTCTGAATGACACCTCCTCCAAGGGCTGAGAGAAGCTGAGGGATCAATCATGGGAGAAGACAAGAGGAATGGTAGTAAGTCAGGCAAATACAGAGTGGACTTTGCCCTCAGTGATCTAATAGGAATACGATCACAAGGTATTTTTAAAGTAAACCATGAGACCTAACATGTGGCAAAGAGTTACAAAAATCTTAGGTATATTCTGGTATCTCAAAAAAGGAAACATAAGTGTAGCCAAAGTTAGGTAATCTATTTTTCGATGGAGACCACAATCCTGGCACCACCACAAGTTAAAATAAATTTTAATCAATATATCTATTTCTTTTCTTCATTTAAACAATGATGGGAATTAGGATGATCGAAATTCACCTCCCATTGAAAGTCAGAAAGGAACAAACAATTTGAAATTCTAGAAGTCATATATAGAAGCTCCCTTAATCACAATTAAGTAGTGGAAATGAACATTTGTAATTAATTACATAAATATTATGATCACCTACCTTGTTTAGATGCAGAAAGAGATGAGTTGAAAGTGAATTAAGCAGTTTAACTGTTGAGTAAAGAATTAGAGTTTGAAGGAATATTATAGATTTCTTATTATAATAAGCTCTTTATTTCAGGACTGAACTTGTGTTGTAGCCTAAATGTATAATCAATGCCTCATAATGGGATTGTAAAAGGTATAGGCAGGTAAAGTCTAATTTATGATCCTATATAATATATAGGAAGCTGCCTGTATCAGTCAGGATCCAATCAGGAGACAAAAACCACACCAGTAATTTGAATAAGGAAAAGTTCACATAAAGAATTCCTAAAAGAGGTAAAGAAAGAGTAGTTTAGTGGTACAGAAGTAGCACCTGCAGAACACAGCTACTGCCCATGGAGCTGAGGGAGAGAGAACAGGGCAGTCACTTATAAAGTTAAAGGAACCCCACACACATGCACACACACATCACCACCAAGTCTGGAGAGGTTGTGGCTACCACCGGACTCTGCTAATGACAGAAAGACTTGCTAGAGTGTGTGGGTGTTGGGCCTTAAAAACTAACGCCACCTTAAGTGACATTACAAGCGCGCCATTACGGGCCCACAAGGGCATATTAACGTGGCAGCCTAAGATGGCGCCGGGAGGAAGTAGGGTGGGAGTGTCTGCAGGAACCTTGCCTTAGCCCTTATTGGCCAAATACATGCTTCCGCGCTTGTGAACACTGCGTGATTGCAATAGCTAGGCATTGAGACAGGATGCATGCTCTCGTAACCTTTAAGCTGATTGGAGGATGTAAAAACCTCCCTTCCCCATTTGCCTTTAAAAGCAAGTGCTTGTGTGATAATAAACAGAACTGCTCGACAGAACCCCTGTGTCTGAGTGTCCTTTAACGGGCTGGTTGGGGCCCGCAGCTGTGCTCACCTCTCTTCGCAGCTCTCTTCCTCCCTCTCCTTCCAATAGGAACCGGAGGGAAAGAGGAATCCGGGCCATCCACTCGCCCACCAGAAGGGACACCAAGGGAGTGACTGATAATGAGGCTAGGGCTGTTTGGGTCGGCTGGCGGCTGACCCGACATGTGGGCCCCAGAAAGTGTGGGCTGCAGCTAGTCTTCCTGTGTGCCCCACTGGATGACAGAGAATCTTGCCACCTGATTGCCAGGCTACAGCCGAGTAACGAGGTGAACAGTACCAGGTCTCTCACATACTGATCTGCTAAGTGCCAGATGGAAAACAGCACTCTGGAAAAGGGAAGCAAGTTCTTTCCTCATGTTCTAGCTTTGCAGTGTCTCTCCAGTCCCTTAGATTGTCAAAGCCTAACATCAAGTCAACTGACAAAGGAGAAATGTCTGCAGCATCCAGCTCTGATAACACAACAAAGGTCAAAGAAGGATAGATTTGGAGAAAAAAGGCAATAAATCAATAACTGCTGTGTTTGTACTTTCTCTATCCTTGGTTGTGGAAACTGATACACTTAAAAACTATGTAAGGTCACCAGTTTATGCTCACAGTCACAAGTCATAACTTCTCTGTTCCTATTTCTAAATTTGGTTACCTACTATATCATTCTGGCTTCAGATTATTCACCAAGAAATCACATTGCTGGCATTATTTATTAATCTAACTTTTTATGGAAGTATAGATAAAGTCCATACCTTTTAAGTGTACAACTTACTAAGTGAATTGCGTGTACAACTAACTCAATGAATTTTTACGGATAAAGTCTATCATGTAAATGCCATCCAAGGCAAGATATAGTCTATTTCTAGCACCCTGGAAACCTCATTCTGAGTCCTCCCAAGTAGTATTTTTTTTTAAATGTTCCCTTAATTTTTTTTTTTGTTTTCTTACATGTTTAACATAACTAATAGGTAGTATATGAAAGAAAAAGCAACATTTTGTAATGGAGGATAAGCATGCCAGAAGCTACTCTTAATTTAAGACCTATTTAATTTTATCATTCTATATCTCTTCCTATAAAAATTATTGTGCTACTCTTGTTTTTTTATAAGTTGAACAATAATTACCAATTTCCTCCTCATTCCAGAGGAAAAGGAATGTGAAATATGAAGAATATATACAACTTCGAATATTTCTGTTTTTTTTTTCATAGAGATAGAGATACAATTCAAATTTTTGAGAATAAACTCTTTCCCACTTATACCAAACTGTCCCCTAAATGTAAGAAAATGCTACATGAATACAATACAAACAAATGACAACAACAAAACAACTAAAAACAAAACTAGCAATAAATTAGGTACTAAGAAAGTAATTTAAATACACGTAAAAATAAAATTTGAAATATATAATATACTGTTTCTTCAAAACTCATAACATTTAACATATTAAGTGTGGAATATTTTTTGTTATATCTCTTTACTGAGAGAAGTGAAAGGAAAGTAACACATTAGGTAGAAAAAGTGGGGGTGTTCTTACTGTATTTTAAGATGACATTTGGATTTTGGAACTATTGGAACTTTTCAGTTAAATGAATTCAACCAGTTACTCAGTTTGGGCTCACTAACCCAAGAGCATCAAGAAATTTGATACTATAAGTTTTTCTTGTCCCTACGTATTTATGGATTTCAAAAACACATTTTAATATTTATGCTATTATTTACATGTAAAATTTTAAAATCAAATATCGTATTGAGAGTTGACACATTTAACAACATAATTTATTTTTTCCTGCTAGATTTCCATTACAAGTCAAAAGTCTTTGAACTTATGATTAGGCTCCATAGCCTGAAGGTTGTGAGTGTTATTCCAGAAGGTTTTCAATTTTCTTTTTAATGTCTGCCTCCTTCTCTGGATTCAGTTCAAAATTCTCTAATGGGAAGCATACTTTAAATAACCTTGATTCCGTGTTTTAGTGTGTTATTTTATTTTATTGGTCTTCTCTAACTGAGAGCACTTACAACCACTATATTTTTTAAAGTTTTATATTTGGTAATATTTTGTTGCTTCTTTGTTTCCTGTTATAATGGGCTTTCAAAGATTAAGCAAATTTGCAGATTTCCCAAACACATCTGTACAGGACAGTGTGATATTACAAGGTTCCTGAAATTAAGTAATACAATGTAAATGCTTTCTGCAGTACGTCTTTGTTGCATAGAAAATGAGGAAGATTGCCAGTGAGTTCATTTTAGGGAGAAAACTACTACTTCGAAATGAAATACAAATAGTTTACTACATAGGCTATATTGTATTCTTAGTCGTGTTTGATTTGGGAATATCCTCGTGCATTCATATACAAGGAAATGATGTTGGTATCTGACCTATTATATTCAAAGACAAAGGTTATCACAAACAAAATAAATAACTCTTTCTAGATTATATCTTGACTTCAAATTGCCTTAATGAATTAACTCTTTTAAAGTTTCATTAAATGCACATGTTTAAAATGCTTAATGAAAATAATGCTGTATTTAATGTTTAGCAGGCTTGAGCATAACATTTGTCCATGCTAATCCTATTTCCTTCATCCTTGCTTGGGAAGGACATTTGGTCACACATACTCCTACACACACAGCTCAGTTATTTGCCCTGATCTCAGGTCTCTTCTTTCCATTTCCCATTTACTTTTTATTGTTATTCCAGGTTTCTTCCTCTTTCTTCCTTCCTCTGCACCCACTCAACCCAACCACCCACTGAAATCCAGAGTTCTGCTCTTCAGTAGTTTTTCAAAATTAGAACTAACCCCACATCCCTTCAGAAATACTTGGGCATGCCTTATTTCTCCTCAGAGACCAGGTGGTCCCCTTAGCTCTGCAATCATTCTTCAACCCCTATGTATCCCTACAGAGCTTCAGACTGAGACCCCCATTTTCCAGCTCTTCCATTTCCCTTCCTGTAAGAAAACATTTCCTTGAAAGGTGAAACCAAGAATCCAAAAAAAGCAAATCAAGTGAATCAGTGCCGTAAGAAGGATCTGTATTAATGAGGAATTTTGCAGAACTGGTAGCACTGAAGTGCATTATGGTCAGTGCCTAGATGATTACATTTTCATTTGTAATGTGGAAGTACTGCCAAGAAATGGAATCAAGCTTACTGTAACAAAACACGGTAACTAGAAATTTATGCTGTTACAGAACTCTTCTTAATGACCGTCAGTAATTGTGAAGGTGGGTCTCCTATGCAAGTTGTCTGTAACCTTTACCAAGCATGTCATAATAAGAACAATGTAAGGCAATACATTAAAAAGTAATGCTATAGCTATCACTTTCTAAACTTTTTTTAACCAGGAACAATAGGTGAGAACAATATACCTCCAATAATTTCACATCTTCTGATTGAAATCACTTGAATTTGAAAGTAAACTTTCATTATTAATCTTTATGTCCTGTAAACTATACTATTTTGCTTATGTATTTAATCACTCAGTAAAATTTACTGACTACATATTATGTACCAAACACAGTTCAGCATAAATTAACAAAAATTCTTTATTTGCAACTTACCATGGGCCATGCGATGGAACCAGTAGTAACCAAAGTCAACTCCTAAGAAGGTTAAATACCAAGTCCATGGAGAATTCCAAGGCAGACTGAAGAGCCTGTAGTTCTCCCAGATATAAATGTAACTGGTCAGTTCAATGCTCCTGAAAAACAGACTGGAAAATAAAATTCACAAGCAATGATTATACCACATTTTAGATATAAAATTTTGCTAAAACAATTTAGGTAGCATTTAAAGATTAATATTTCACATGTAAAAATGGAACTCTTTCCTCCTTCTACTTTGTTTCTTACTGCTCTTTTAGAGGCTCGATTTTCTTGCTATCAAAATGATTAACATGCTGTTTTCTTTTGTTTCATAGGCATCATGAATGCCAGCTGTTTGCACTCTCAATTTCACAGAATTTAGGAGGCCATTCCTTTTTTATGTCTCTTAAAATACTTTTCATGGAACGAGTAGAACATAAATATGACAAAACTACAACTTATTTTCTGTGATTGTCATTTCTAAATCTTAATGAAGAACACATTAAGGATGCTTTAGAAAGAAAGTATAAAAGGCTGGAAATTATAAATGGCATATTCTTAAAGGGATCTGCAAATCGCCTACTGCCTTCAAATATGTTGATTCTATAAAATTTGCCTTTAGATTAAAGTTGTTTCTAATTCTATCTCCTCTCTTCTCTCCTCCCTTCTTCCATCTTTCTCTCTCTTTCACACACACACAGCCACACACACATCTTCAAGCTTTTTAGATGTGAACCTAGAATCACATATTGGATTCTCATAGCAGTTCAATATTTCTGGTAAAAAATATAAACTAAAGCTTCTAAGATGTTAGAGAAGAATCTTCCTCTAGAAATAAGGGATATGAAGCTAGTTAAAATAAACAATTGCTTTAAAATCTAGATACTAAAGTATGTCTTGCCACCTATTCTGTGAAGCTTCTGCAAGTTCTTATTTTAACATCTTTCAAAAACATATATAACATACTTCAATTTTATAAGGTGTACTATTTTTTCTTTTAAATTTTCTGTGATAAAATTTAAGGTCAGATTCAAGATAATAACTTAGTTTATCACTTTTATAAATTTGATTGAGTTGAAATTTCTTCTGTATTAATTATTAAAATGTAAACTAAATTGACACGAGGTGAGAGGTGTCCTCTATGGTAGGCTGATAAACTGGCACGCCAAAACAAAAAGAAGAAAGGAAGGAAGGAAACAGCGAAGGAAGGAGAAAAGAAAGAAAAAGAAGAGAGGGAAATGTGTGTGTGTTTATATACATACATATATATATACACACACACACATATATATGTAGAGAGAGAGACAGAGAGAGGAGAAAGAGAAGGAAGGGAAAAAAGTAAAAAAATAAAATAAAATAAATAAGTGATCATTGTACCTGATAAAGACATATTTATAAGCCAACAAGAAGTTTGGTGCTCAGAGTTATAAGGAAATTCTTAAATATTCTAATTTCAGATAAGAGTTGAAGAAGCAGCTCAGATTATTATATTACTAAAATTCATCATTTTAATAGTGGTTCCCTTTACGGTGTCAGTTTCTTTGAATTAGCGTGTTACAAGGTCTTTTGGAGACTTGGGACTTTAACTTTTCTCTGTTCTTGAATTTAATTGTAATATCACTTCAATTATAATTTAACAATTTTAAAATGTCCTCTTGTATTTTGAATGCTTCAAGTTACTATTATTTAATCTGTAAAATACTAGCTACTTCACAATAGCAGTAATATACATAACTCATTGAAATGTTTACAGTTTTGAGTATTACCATTTGAGCATTTCCCTTTCTCAGAGCTCAGTTTCCAATTTCAGATTACATGGCTTGAAAAAGCAGTTTCACCCCTGAGTGCAAGTCCTTGACCCAACAAAAGAGCCCATCCTGGACCCCATCATAATGACAACCTGAGCAATGATCTGGACACTCCAGAATCACCTGCTCAAATGGCCCTGTGCCTGTTTGCAGAGCTTGCAAGTGGCTTTTTCCTGGTCTAGTTCTCCTGAGGGTTGACCTCTGCAGGTGTGCAACTCCTACAAATGACAGGACAAGCAGTCTGGGATGTCCACACACACGTGTCTGACATCCCTCATGGGACAGGACAAACCATGAGCCAGGGGCTCCCACAGTGTTTTGGAACTCTGAGGAATCCAAGAACTGGAAATTTAAAACCTGACTTCCAAGTTTGTATCAAGGTACATTTGTCAAAGTGGAGGGTTAGAAAAAAATTTATTTTAAAGCTTGTTAACTTGGTTGGTAACTTTTATATATTTAGACCGGGGCTTCTCAATAGTGCCACTGTTGTCACTTGGACAGGATAATTCTTTGTTGTAGGAGGTTTTCCTGTGCAGACACTTACTCAGACTATAAAATCTTAAAGTTGTTCTCTATGGTACAGTAGTAGAGGGTTACCCATATAAAATTAAAATTTTATGTAAAAAATAACAAAAAAAGGTGAATAATATTAATTTTATATGGCTCAACCTAATAATTTCTTTAAAACAGGGATTCTTAACCTTGGCACTATTGCCATTTGGGACCAGATAATTCTTTGTTGTGAGGGCCTGTCCTGTGCCTTATAGAGTAGAGCAGCAACCCTGTCCTCTTTCTACTAGATTCAGTAGCACTGTTCCCATCCCAGTTATGACAACCAAAAATGTCCCCAGACATTGCCGAATGTTACCTGGGAAGCAAAATTGCCCCCAGTTGATAACCACTATCTTAAAACAACTGATCCAGACTTAGAAAATTCAACAGCAAGTTAAAATAATCTATAGCTTCTTATGAATGCTTTAGTGCATGGTGTCAAAACAATTCACCCATGAGTTCATTCAACCATTCAATGAATTTCTACAAGGAACGTATGAAGTGCCAGGCACAGAACAAGACAAAAGTGTACATTATTGAATGGGGTAAACATAATCACTTGCCCTACAAATGTTCCATTATTTCAATTATCTTTCTTAAAATTTGCTATCTTCCATGTCAGTTGCATTGACAATTGAAATAGGCATTAAGAAACCAAGACATCAATAAAAGAAAGAGTCCCTGAAAAACTTCCATTTGTAAAACAAAGAGAACCTGCCTGCAATCAAAATACTTTTTTATTTCCTCTACAGTTGCCAAGTCTTGAGCAGACACCCAATTTATCACTCTGTCAACTGACTTATTAGGGTTGACAGAAATTGAGCTGAAATATGCCTGACATACTACAGTCAGGACTTTTTTTTCACACTTTAGCACGAAGCCAAACTTTCCTCAAGGTGAAGGGAAAGAGGGGAGAAGCTATGGGAGTTACATTCCCTGCTTTCTATCAGCAAGATGAAAATGATCCTTTTCCACTACACCTGTGAAAGAACAGCCAGGGAGTGCCCACAACTAAAACAACTTACCAAAGTGATACAGCTGGGAAATGATCATCAAGTTCTGGAAAGCCCTTGATTGCAGGAAATAGCACCTACATTTTCAAAAATGTTCCCACCAGACCTTGAATCATAAACCAAAGCTCCTTCCTCTTTCTCCTCCCAATTCCTCCACTCCCCTTTCCACCCTGAAACCCCAGCTATGACTCTGCACTCTGGAATTCAAACTTAAACTCTCTGAATCCCATCCTCTGGGAAGAGGCATATATAATGCATGTGTATGTAGTGAGCTTATTTTATCACATGGAGATGGAATATTGGGTAGCATAGGGGCTGGGAATTACCAAATACTCAATGCCATTTATGCATCAAGTTCCGATGGGAGACCAAGAAAATGATCTAAATATAAAGAGACATTAGAATCCTCTAATCAACAAGCTGTGCGCACAGAGGCTTTCCTCCCATTGTCCTATATTCTTCATGAATTCCCCCAGATGGCAATTTTCTCTTGGGTCTGAGGTATATTTTTTGGCAAATGAAAGGTAGTTTATAATTCTAACTAGTGAGATGATTCTTTATGTATGTGGTATAACATTTTCTCTCTTTACTAGAAATGTGCTATTCACCGAAATGTGCTTTCAGTAAATAGCAATTTACTGAAATTGCTATTCAGCACTGGCCTTGGATTTTTTTTTCTTTTAAAATAATGTTTAGTCATAATATTGGGATTAATAAATAATCAATAAATTAGAAATAAATATAAATTCTTATTTGTGGACTAAGAATTGCAAGCTAATTAGCTTTCAAAGTCATCTTGACCTGAATCTACCCATCTCCAAGAGTAGAACTGTGACATTAGACATGTCATTCAGCCTTTCAGGATGTCAGGGCTAGTTTAAGATATGAGAGCATTAGGTTGAATAGTCGCCATAATTATCTAGTTATCAAATACTCCCACGATCTGATCATTAAGGAAGTGAGTAAAATGTAATGTAATGCTCTCATTGCAAACTGCTAAAATTTCAAAGAAACTTTCAAAGTAAGTAGAAATATGTACTGAGACTCACAGGTATCTGCTAATTTATGCTATTTAATAACTCTCATTATAGCTGTGTTCACAGTCTGACTTGGCCAGTTTATGAGAAACTGAAGAAAATAAATTAGATGTTTTTATTTCTAGTAATCGTGTTTTACAAGCTGGAAAATAAATCAATATTTAAATGAGATCACTATAAATATCCTTTAAAAGGCTATAAAATTAAAAGTAAATAAACATATAAGTAAATAAATATATACATATACACAGAAAGAGAGAGAGAGAGATTTTTTTCTGAGAAATTTTGTTATTTATTAACTTAAAAATCTCTTAAACCTAACCCAGGAATTTGCACTGACGTCTGTAAAGCTACTGCCACTTTTGCTCCATCTAGTGGAATATTGATTTTTGCTCAGAAATAATAAGATAATACAACCTCTACCTTTTGCAAACAGACAAAATTTGTACTACTGTTTCTTACTGTGAAGTGGCATTGCATTTCAAAAGAATCACTTAATTTAATTTCTTTTTACAACAACCATAAAATCATAGACTTTTATTTTAAAAAGTGGTAGATTTGGAAGAAGTAAATTTGCTATATTCTTTGCTTTGCAGGAAAATATATTACTCTTGAGCAAGCACACAAGTCCAGGCTAATAAGCAATGAAACTTGCATTCATTAGGGAAGCTTGGTCTAATAACAGTCTCTGAAGTCACACAATTAATAAAGACAAAGCCTATTTATAAGGTTTCTAAGGTAAAAGTTAAGAGGAAATGAGGCATTCTACCTCTAATGAACATGTAAGGAAAATAAATTTTAAAACCTTGGTGTTTTTAAAAGTATTTTCTAGGTCAACGAAACTTTTAATATTAATAATAAAGTATTATTATTGACATTACATGAATTCATTTATCTCTTATTTTGGACAATTGAATTACTGCTCATTAAAGACATCATCCAAAATGATATGCACTCATTTGATAGAAGTCTGATGTTGCCAAAGGCAATATTGCCTCTGATGCTAAAGCCTAGTATAAAAACCCAGTATACAATTTTCCTTTATTCTCCAACCCCACCCCAAGGAGTCAAAAGTATTTCAAAGAAGTTTAATTTCCTCCTCTTTATTTATTTATTTATTTTTTTGATGAATTGAAACTTTCTTGTCAGGAATGGAAAATTCCATGGCAGGCATGGCCAGTAAAAGTGTGCACGTATGGTTGAACATTGCGGAGCTAGCTCCACAGTAAAAATTGGCAGTGACCCATATATATTAAAATTGGAGTGTCCCCAACTTTATTTGAAAATTTACCTACTTATATAATCCCTCCAACCTATTGCAATTTGATTTATAATCTGCTGTTTCAACAGAATAAATGAACCCATTAAAAACAAACATACTGTAGATATTTATATCGGGAATAAAACTTCTCTGGGGAGGATGCAATTTATGGAAGCAGAAACATTGGAAGGAAGTAACAAATTGAGGTCCCGGTTTTCTAATGAAGGATTGGAAACTGAATTTTGCTTAAACAAGCAGGGAGGAAAAAAAAAAAAAAAAGATGTGATTATTTTTCACTCGTTAACATTTAAGTCGGTAGCAGAATATTTCACAAGTTTTGTGTAGTTTTTTTTAATAGTTTTAGTACATATTTTGTTTAATCAAATTTAATTTTTATAGTCACATATGCAAGTAATTGATAGAAAGGCAGATTATCTGCATATGATACACTGTGTTTAACTATGATAAATAGAAATATCTGTTTATAACTTCACAACTAGATTCTGACAAGTAAGGCTGCCTACTTGACTTTGGAAGAAAAAAACAGATGCAGGCCTGCCCAGAATCTGGTTCTTAGGACAGATGGACTTTTATACAGATCACGGTCTGTCTAACAGGCTTGTAAACAAGATATAATCTTGTCCATAATAAATATTTTTTCTTACACAAAGATGTGAAAGATGCAGTATGTATCTTTTCTGTTACTATAATAAGCATGCTATTAATCTTTAAGATACTTCAAATTTTGTATAATCGTGAAATTGAAATTCTCAAAGGAATATTGTTCTTCCTCAAAGTCTGCATACAACATTTCCATTACATGAATGGCAAAGCGGAAAAACATGTTTACTTTGATTTTCACAACTTATTTTGTCAGAGGCCACATGCTATTTGGAATTATTATAGAAAACCTGATTCTTCACAAAAGAATTAACGAAAAGTATACAAACATTTTTCTTGCAGTCATGTATCATAAGGACGTGGCAAGCCTCTGTTGCTAGTGTCAAAAACATAGTCAGTCCCTCGGAGAGGATACGATCAATGCTGTGTTAATCTAACCCTCAGCTGTTAATGATTTGCCTAGGGATTCCCCTTGACGCTGTGGCTTCGACTGAAATATTGTTTTATGATTTGATCAAATTCCCCTTCTCATTTTTTGCTAAAAGAGGATTGAGTAAAGTGGATCCTGAGGATCAGCTTTCCTTTTTTTTGCTTATGCCATTTTTTTTTAAAGTGACAAAATAAAAGAAAACATTACTAAATTTTATTTTCAGATAGTTTGCTTTGCTGGGATCTTTCAGATAAAAGGCTATGAAAAATGAAATCCTTTACAAACTTTAAAAAAAATTCATATTTCATAATTTAGAATCACTCTTCATACCTACAAGGAATAAAAGGAGCAATTTGCAGTTCTTATTCAGCATACAGCTGCAGGAAAATATTCTCCAAATTCAAGTTCATAACCTTTTACCTTTCTCTCAAAGGGCACCACAGTTAACAGTTTGTGTTAGCTTAAGAAGTGTTATGAGTAGTAGGTGAAGGAAAGGAACTGTATGTTCTATCCCTGAAGAACTGGTTTGTTTTGGTTTCTTTTCTTCTCTGTTTCTCTCTCTCTCTCTCTCTCTCTCTCTCTCTCTCTCTCTCTCTCACTCGCTCGCTCCATTTTCAGGTGTGCTTTTTGCAAAACTATGTATTTGATTCTTGTTTTCCTGTCCTAACTCTATACCTTTTAAAAATCACACTTCTTGGCAGAAATATTGTACTGAGGATACAGTTTACACTTCTAGTAGTTAAAATGTTATAAGAGAGCAATCTAATTCCAACTGTAACCAAAGACAATCTTGAAGAAGCAAAAGAAATGCTGAAGCAATCATCTAACTTGTTGTCTCCCTGAGTTCTTAATAAATTCGTTCAAATTCAGTAAAATATGTTAACAATAATTGCATATGTAGGGTACTTCTCAGTTATCAAGTGATTTTTACAGGTTATCAATTGTCTGATTTCCATAAACCTGTATATATAACTTTCTCAGAATGAGCTATGGTAACCAATTGGGTATTTTTCAATAATCAAATCTACATACAAATTTACATATCTCTTGATTATGTTGAGTGTATTTCTTGTTCATTTCTGTTTAAGAAGGACATGTAATAGAGAAAATTATCTATAATTTTAAATTTTTACTTAGGCTAATCTGGGAATTAGCTGCAAATAATTTGAGACATAATCCACATCTGATTTTGACTACTATGTGCACCCATACAAGTAGTTTTCAGAGTTATTATTATCAATATTACTACTACTACTACTACTACTACTACTATATATTTAATAACCTACCACTCTTGAAGTAACACTTATTGAAAGAAAATTTACTTTTAGGTTTACTTCCTATCTTAAGTTATTTTATGCAATTAAATGAAGTCATTTCACCTTCTCTCAGATATCTTTAAGTTTTAATGTCACTTTTTAAAAGTCCACATTGGTTTCTCACTGGGCGGTTCATAGAAACATTCCAAAGCAATGAGCAGTGGTCAGAAGAAAGGCTCTTAAAACAGTGAAAGAAGCAATGGGTGGGAAGCTAGAATGAGAACATTCATAAGCAGCTCAAAGCACAGACTTCTATGGGAGTTTCCCTCACCCTCTGCCTCTTTAGTAAATTTTCACGTACCAAAGATGCCTTCTATTCACTGGTCTCCCTCTGTACACATTATAACTTACTCTTTCTAAAAAGTAGTAGATAATTTGTTGTTTGCTATTATTTGGTCCCTTTACCACCTAATTTTATCACCAACATAACACTATGTGAATATTACTTTTATGGCTTTTTTTTTGGAACATTTACCATATACCAGACATCATTCCAGGCATATGAACCATGAGAAAAGCACATCTCTTGCTTTCAAGTTGTGTGCAAGCTATCAGGAAAGGCTGGGAGGAAGACAGGTGAGCATCATACATGCTATATAATTTCATATCTGGGTCAAGCAAAAAATTCTGTGGGACCATAGTGAAGTGGTGCCTAACCTAGAATTGAAGAACAGATAGGCCTTGCTGAGGAGTATGACATCCAAGCTTAGGCCTAAGAAATGAATCAGAGTTGGCCACACGGATGGCTTTGCAGAAGGAGGGGAGCACCTGTGACATGTGACAATGACAAGTAATAGAGCATGATGGAACAGAGATAACAACGGGGGAGGACAATGGAGGGACCCAATGGAAGACTGGAAACACAAAGTCCTGGGTAGTTCAGGAAAGACATTTGTACCTTATCCTGAGGGCAATATAAAACCAGTAAAAGGTTTCTACCAGATTCCTAGGATGGAAATGTTTGGCTTCAAATGTGGTGGCACTAGAGACAGGACACCAGTTAGGAGCCCAATGTCATAATCCAGAGATTTTTGTGACCTGCCCTGCACAGTGTCTGCAGCCCAGAGAGCTATTCTATGTGAATTTGGCTGAGGCAAAATAAAAGTTCCAATAGATAACTTAGATCATAATTCAGGGCTGGGTCTACAGCAAAGCAAATGAAGCACTCACCTAGAGCACAAAATTGAAGTGGGTGCCAATAAACTTAGTAATAAATAGAAACAATATTTATGGTGATTTTTTAAATGAATGCAAAAAATAATCAATGATGAACACAATATCAAAATTTTAGATAGTGACAGGCACTGAATTTTTTGGGAATATACGCATAAATAGACTAATTCTCCCACACAGGGCTTTCTTTCCCCCTCATGTTTGGAGAATTTGAGTGCTTTTACTCAGCGTTGCTCACCATCTAACTCACCTTGGAAGCCGAGACAGAACACCAGCTGATATTGATGTTAAAGCATCATCCAAACGACCTGGTGGCTTCCCTTTGCGAATCCAGCTGACAACCAGTTCAAGCAACATCAAGGAAATGAAAAATGGAGTTGCCTGGAGAGGAAATTGCAGAGAAGATATACTATTATGATCCATATGAAATTCTTCCACATTTCCTGATTAGTCATTCCAGAAATGGGAGGCCCAGAGTTGGGAGGTCCAGCAGGAGATGGTATGCATCTATCCTAAAGGATCATTTCCTACACAATGGGCAAAGAAGTCTAATAATTTTGGACATGCACTATCATCCAATTTGAAAATGGAATATGACTATAGATATAACAATGACAATTGTGACAAGAAAGTAGTAAGTTTAAGAGGGACTTGTTCCAAGTTAGATCCAGAATGTACATTTAAAATAAGTTAAATAATCAGAAGTCTATCATCTACACATGACTAAGCTAAATCCACTTGAAGAGGCTTCCTTGAAGGATGTATACAATTCTAGTTTTTTAATTAGAATTCCCAGAACTGCTTTGAATGATGAAAACGAAACAGTAGGATAAACAATTTTTTTCTGAGAATTTTAGAGAATAAGGTAATTTTACATGTTTGTTTAAAACACCATCCAAGTTTTATTCATTCAGTTTTGATTTTGTTTTATATAATAATAGGTGTTTTTCAGGCTCCAGTATTGATCACTGCGCATTGGATTAAATTTGGTGTTGCAAAATAACTAAAATTTATTTATGAAGATATGAGTACCACATTTTTACTTTAAAAATTAGAAAGAGCAAAATCTAATCCTAAAAATGATATTGGTTTCACTCATTTGGAAGCTGCTCATAAGTTTTGAAGTTTTCTAAACTGAACTCCCAAGAACGTATTCTCTGATGTCATTTTTTGCTATTTCTGGCTTGAACTAGTAAATGCTGTAGGAACAGCTATGACAGGGTGGGGAACTTCAGTATTCAAGTTCTAATTCTGGATATTTCCACTTCCAATCATAGCCAGGAACTAGAAGTGAAAAGTGCCTCTGAACACTTCAGAGTTTCAAAGAAAACTTGGTTCAAGTTCAAACTTAGGAAGTCAGAGTTGGACTCAGTGAAGCTACATGTCCTTCATTCTGCAGAACTACTCTACCAAATTAAAGAGGAAATAGTTTCCCTGGAGGTGATGGACAAGTTAAACATTTTAAAACAGAGTTGTTACAGAGTTTACGGATGTGGTATAACTATTTGACATTGAGTTTCCAACAGCTAAATTCTCAATGCCATAGATCCAGAAAAACTTCTAAACATTTTTGTCATATTCTGGAGAGACATATAAAGGAAGAAATTTATAGACAAAGATGCCTGTGAGCACTATATGGAAATTCACCTCAAGCAGAAATTCTACTTTTGTTCTATGGCTTTAAGAAACTGAATTATTTTTATTAAAATGTAACAATTTGAAGAATGAAAGTGAACAATACCTCATGATACGTTCACCTTACTTTTATAAAGAAACAATTGAGAATAGCCTCTTTCAATATAATCTCACCTGTTTTACATAATCAGGCACCTCTTCTAGGGTTTGGAATGAAGTTTCATTGGGCTTCATCATGTAAAACATCATGCGAACTCCCTGGGAAACTGAAACATCCTGTTGGGCTTCTGAGTTCTTCATTTCTGCCCTTGTCTGATTCCCAGCTGGAGGATATTTGTGATTCAGTGGTCAAAGCCAGAGGCTGAAGAAAGAGGACGAGATGTGCAGCACAGAACAAGCTCTTTGTCAGAGAACAGCTAGAAGCAAGCCCCTCAGAGAGCACAGCCAACAGCCAATTCTGTGCAGAGACAGGAAAATACGAGGATCAGAAACAAGTTCAGAGTTCAGTGGGTACTCTCCCAGAAACGGGGCATGCGGGGGAGGGAAAGGAGGACTCCCACCCAAATCAAAGGCATACGGTGCAAAGTTTGACTGTACCTGGAGTAACTTATCATTAAAATAAGAAAAGAAAAGAATATACCATAATCGTGCCTTGGAAAATGAAAGAAAAAAAAAAAAAAAAGAATACACAGATGAAAGTTCACTCTGAAACAGTGGATGGAAGTTCAAGGGTCAAATTACATGAGAAAAATGATTTTTTTCTCTTTATTTTGAAATTCACAATGTGTTCAAGTTTGTAGTATCTTTATAGAATCATATTTCCTGAAAAGACAGGTGTTCAATTTCATAATAGCTTCAAAGTCAGTAAGCACCGAATATCAGACTTGTTCTTTCCTATGTATTTCTGGATCCGAATCATGTTAACTTTTGAATGTTTGCAAACCAATTTAGGGACATTTGGCTTGTTACCTAATCTACACTGTTTAAAGGAAACTTATCCAGTCATGTCTTCTCTATCTTTCTTAGCACTTGTGGGGATTCCCTGATTGAAGAAGCTGCCATGATGTTGCTGTGAGACCTTATCTCTGTTTTCCAGAAAAGAGTTTAAGTGATTTCACCTTTTTAAGTAGACTAGCGAGCACGTGATTGCATCACGGTGAATGTGTGGAGCTTAAAAGAACAGCCTCACCTTTTTACCTAGAATAGCTGTGATTGTCATCTAGCTACCATTTCACCTTTTAAAAATGTTTACATTGATTTAATTATATTACTAATACATGATTGTTTTAGAAAAAATGGAAACTATAGATAAGCAACAAATTAATTACTACCTACAGACACTTTTAAGACACTTTTAACATCCTGGTATATGTATAGTCAGTTCTGCTACAATGTAATGTATATAAGTTCCTAAAAATCACCATATTATGTGAAATTGTGCAATAAAAATCATAGAACTTATGAGAAAAATGGGATTAGTGTACAATAATCAAAAACTTCATAGTGACCTACAGGAGGGAAAAACAGATTAGAACCTAATAAAAATGGTAGCACACTTTTTTACATATTATATGATTTTATTTTTCCTGAGTACTAATTTCTGCTTTCTGGATGCTTATAGACTATTTCTGTGCCCTTGAAATTAAATCATTTTAATGTGTTATTTTTTGGAAGAAAATTTTACAGAGGTAAGGTGTCTTGAGCCACAGATTTGAATCTTCTTTTGCTTCAGGGAAATATTCTGCCACTGTATTTCTGCCTATTATTTATATTCCATTTATATTTTTTTACACTTCTTCACAAATGTGATTTATCTGTTGATCAGATGCCATTTATCTTCCATATCCATCATATTGCCTCTGTCCATTTTCATCACCTTTTTGTTTTCTAGTACCCTCTCACTCATTTTCTCAAGCCTATCTCTTGGGTATATTTTTCTTCAGTTTCCTTCCTCCTTTTGGTTCTGCTTCAAATTCTGTAATGACATTATTTGCTTTCTTAAATTCTTAACTCAGTTCCCCTTTTATGTCTATTTCTTATGTAATCTGATTTTTCTTCAAATTTGTTTCTTATTTAACTTCTTTTGGTATAGAAAACAATTCTGCCAAAAATTATTCTTAGTTTCCTGGGGATAATACTCAAAACCATGTTCTTTATCTACTTTGGCGGGCCCTTTCCCTGCCTTCACTCCCAATGTGTTTATCCTTGAATGCGTGCAGGTCTTTTTATGCTCCCTTCCACATTTCCCCTCACCTCCCCAAAAAAAGGATGTGGATGAATACTCCTTGGGTCCCCTGCAGGTATACATGGTGCTGTGGAGTTTAGATTTATCTTATCAGTTCAACTGGAGAGGACGGAGGAGGGAGCTGTAACTATGAGCAGCCCTCCACTGTCTCTGCATGCTGTTTTGGTGAGTTAGAATTGCTATTGTAGAGGTCATCTTTCCTTTTGGCCTCTACTCCAGGCATTGAGAGAACCATTTAAGATCTTCTTCCTGTAGGTTTTATTTATTGAGAATTGGGAGTGTCCGTGGACTATTGTGGGGGGGTTTCAGTAACAGAACTTGGCTTTTACCTTTGAACAATTTGATAATTGGGACAAATAAGAATTTGCTTGAAGAAAGCTTCTCAGTTCATGAGGTTTTTTCCTAATTCTTATAAGAATTCCTATAAATTCCTCCATCCCAGATGATACCATCTTTCTCTGCTGTCATTTGTCCTAAAGGCCAAAATTAACTAGAATGGGTCAGTTTTGGCTATTTCTTACCACCATTCCTGACCATGTGCAAATTACAGGGTTTACCCACTACATAAGAGGAAACAAACTCTGCTTTTAAGAAACTGGATTGTAAAACTAGTCTTTTGAGTGATCATCTTTCTACTAATGCTTAAGAATAACGTATAGAAGTGAAATTCAAGGAGGACACAAGAAAGGAGACCCTCACTTTTTCCTTGGTGTTGCTATATCTTCAGCCTTTACCTCTCCATCCCTTACCAATAAGGGGATATTTTGTTTGCCAGATTTTACTCTACAACTGATGGAGTATTTTTCCTCTCCATATATACTTCTCTTTAGTCATTAGAATCAGTTCTGGAAAGTAGACTGGACACCTACTCTTACACTACTATCTTAAAAAGTTTTTTTATATTTCTAAGTTTATAAAAATAACATATGCTCACTGTAGATATATAGAACAATGCAGAAGATGTTTAAGAAAAAAGTAAGTCATTATAACCCCACCAAACAGATTATAGCCTCATTAATATTTTAATGACCATCTATATTTAAGGTCTTTTTCAGACACATTATTTTACATAGATGTGTTCATACTCTATGTGTACTTTGAGGTCCAGCTTTTTAAAATTTGAAAGCCATATGATAAAATGACAAAGCCCCAAATTGGAAGGTGTCTGGGTCTCTAAATCACTACTTAGAGAGAGCAGTCTATCAATTAGGACATTAGGTGAGCAAATACTAACCTTGTAATGTATTTTGTGTTGTATTTTTTTATTATTTGAGCCTTGATCACTTAACAGCTAGCAGAATCTCCACTAATATTGAAGAGTCGCATGGTCCAACTTAGGCATTAAAATGATCAGTCTGGTTTCTGTGTAAAGAAGAGACTTTAGATAGGGAGGCTGGAAACAGATGTGTAGGCAGAAGTGTTTGATACAGTCCAGGCAGGAGATGTTGGTGACTGTCACTAGGATGGTTGCAGTACAAGGAGTTAAAGTGGAAAGGTGACCCTGGATACATATTATTGGTAGAGTGGACAAGATTTGATATCAGCTTGAATGATAATGAGACAAAAAGAGTAGACACGGATAGTTTCAAGAGTTTGGTTCGAGCAGCTGAAAAATTGGAGTTGTCATTTACTGCAATGGACAAACTGTAGGATTTGGCTTAAAATATGATATGAGATGCCTGTAGACATCTGAGTTGAGATGGTTCTAGCAGTTAGATGTATAAATATGAAGTTCAAGCTCAAAATAGGAGAAACAGTTAATACAAATAAAAGATAATGACAAAAATAATTAGAGGTAAAACATAAGATGATTTTCACAGTCACTTCAACCACATTTATGTGCATAAAAATATTCATTTTTAAGTTGAAAACCAGGTCTATTATATTAGTTTTATTATCATGATAAATATTTTGAAGTTCAAATGCAAATATCATAAAATATAATAATTTTCTATACTATAAATACATTACTAAAAATAATCACTAGAAGCAAACATAACTATAAATAAGTTTAATGTAGATGTAATTGAAAGAAATATTTGCATTTTAATATATAGCATGGTAAACATATGTTTTAAAATTAAGAAAAATCCCAACTGTTTTTCAAAATGTATGTGCTGTTTGGTATTCACACCAATATGAGAGTTCCAGTTGTTTTGCATGTTTTCCAGAACTTGGTATGTCCAGGCTTATTTTTATTTTTTTTACTTCCTCTTTTTGATCTAAATGTCTGCATCATTTGTGTAGAATATTGTTGTCACAATAGAAAGTTAATTATTTCCCTTCCTGTTATATCTCTCCATATTTTAAAGGCAATTTTAGAAAGAATATACTTGTGTGTTGCCAAAGTTTTAATATTGTCTCTAAGAGTCTTTGACTCTTGTGTATTAGTACTTTTCATTAGAAAATAGTAGCATATGAAACTTAAATCACTCTTTCTATTTTCTTAGACTATATTTTATTATGGTCAAAATCCTTTCCACAACTTAGAAGTGAAAGATCAGGTAAAACAGAATCTTTAAAGAAATTTATGGCATACACTTGAGGTCAGAGCATAAAAAACAAATAGTATTTCAGAAGTTATTTCTTTAAAATCTCATCAAGCTAGTAGATCTCATTGTTATTTTAACAGTCACCAGTGCGTGCCAAATGAGTGACTCAAAGTGCTGCATATATATCAGTGTCAGAATGTGTGTAACTCTCTCTTTACAGAATGGATTTTGAATCAATGTTGGAATAAATCCAAATTCACAGTGCAGAATGTGGAAGATCTCAAGAGTATTTCTTGAAATAGCTCATGAGATGCTCTGCAAAGAGAAGAATTTCTTTTATAAAATATGTTTGGAAAGCACTGAATACTACATGTGCCTCTCAGAAATTAGTCTTGTATATAAATACTATATCAAAGTTTCTGAGAAGTCTAAAATGAACTCATTTTAACTTGCTCAGTTTCTCAGTTGTAATATACTGCAGTTTCTCAATTGTAATGTACTACAGAATTTTTGTTAATCTAACACTGGTGAGCACCTCTGAGAATGTGTATAACATATATTGTATGATTTGGGGTTGCTGCTCTAAATTAGGTTCTCCGAAGGGCTCATTTCTCCACTGAG